CTTTAGAACCCGAGGAAAGGAGGAGGCTTTACAATGGATCTCTTTAGATCTAAAGCCTCTTCGAGGGTTAGAGTTCCCATTTCATGGTCTTTTCATAAAATAAAATATAAAGAGAGAGCAAATCGGAAGAGAAATCCCGATGACCGGAGAAGGGGTATTTCGAACGGAAACCTTAGACCTACTCTATTATCGAGGGATTTTGATGAAACCGAACTAAGATTGAGATAGAGGGGTCGAAGAGGATCATAGAAAAGTGATATTTCTTAATTTTTATGATCGGAAACGGTTGCCGACGCCGCTGCCTATGGTGGCCGACCAGAAAAATAAAGAACATACGAAGAACACTCTAAGGGTTTTCAGAGGATTTAAGATCAATGTTTTGATCCATAGGTTTTCAAATGAGAGAATGGGTTTTGTTCGTTTTTAAAATGAGTTTTTTGGTAATTTCATTTTAGTCTCATTCGAGTCTTTAATCTTTACTTGGAAAATTTTTATTTGGGGTCCTAAAACTTTTTTTCTACTTCGATCCTGTTCCCTACTTTGTTTTTCATTCGATTTAGTCACTGTCTCTTGGTTTATCTAACTTATTAGCTCCATTACATTTATTTCTATTCCTTTTCACCGTGTGTGCCCTACCATTTATATCCTTACATTCTTTTTAAAAATTATTTAATTTAGCCGTTAATCTTGGCTGATTTGTGTGTAAATCATTAATATTATTCCCTTTTTTATTTTCTGCAATTAATGCTTCATACCAGCCGTTTAGTATCCCATGATCTTGCATCTAATTTAAGATGATTAGTTATTAAGGTGGCAAGTTGACTGTTCATTGGGTTTGATCATTTTTTTTTGTTACAATTGGTTTTGATCATTTCGATGCATTTATTTTACACCTATATATCTATACGTAAATCCCATATTATGCTTGTACTTTATATTGCGTCTCACATGTATCCTGTTGTATGAGCAACGTGTCTAAGATCCTATATATCCTCTATAATATGTGTAAGTATGAGTTGTATTCCATAGCATATGCATACCCTTTTTTATATATTAATGCATGAATGTGGATTAATAGCATATTAGTTTTTTTAGTCATTAATTAGCAACTTCTTGTAATAAATAAAGCTTTGTTTGTTTAATATTTTTATGTGTAAATTTGGTTTCATGGCGTCATTTATTGTAATATGCACGATACCCTCCATAAGCATCATTTAGATTCCTCATGATTAGTCCCTAAACTTTAGAACTATTTGAAATTAGTCTCTTAACTTCTTTAATTAGGTATTAGTTGACATAACCAATTAGGTTAATTAGAGCCATCACATTAGTTTAATTTCACTTTAGTCCTCTAATTTAGAGAGTAATCTGAGTTGGCCCTCGCCTACATGCTCAAGGGACCATCTCGACTATTCGATCCAATAACTGCTTAAAATCAAATAGGATTAATATTAAAGCATCCATTTTTAAGTTTAGTCCTTTAGGTTCTTAAATTACATAAATGGACACTTTAAATTGGGGAAGCCTTAACTAACTCATCTAGCATATTTATGTGTAATAAAAAGTTGTTTGCTTGAATTTGGACTTAAAATAACAAGGCAATGTTGATTTACCAAGGAGTCAATGACGTATCCTCCGCATTATGCTCAAGGGGTCACCACTGGCAATTCCCGAAGTAGATGGACATCCTTTTTAAAATCCTTCATTTTTTAAAATTTCGAGGCAATTTTCGGATATTGAGCACAATAATTGATCTCCCACATTCATGCTTAGGGTGAATATTATTGGCTTTAATAAACGACCACCCTATTCAACTTTGCATCCATAGTGATTTTTAAATTAAATAAAATCTCAAACTCAAAATTTCCAACTTTTAAATATAGGGTAATCGACTAGGTACTAACTTTTGGGCGCTGTGGGGTGATAACCCTTCCCTACGCGTAACTGACTCCCGAACCTATTTTCTGGTTTTCGCAGACCCAAAACTTGGTATTTTATTAAAATAAAAATGTTTTCTTAAATTACATGATTTTTATGGTATTCCAACTGCACCTTAAAATGGTTGGTAGCGATTCCCAACATTTCATAAAATCGTTTCAAAACCTTTTCAAAGAAAACCCTAAGTCACACTAATTTTTTCCCCATCCGATGGAAAACGGTGTCGACACTCTGTAAACACTAATTCTCGGCTTAACAAAATCAATAATATTAGAAGAATTTTCAAGAATAAACTGCTTAGAAACAATGATAAATTTAGAGCCACCACAGTCATGAACATTCGAGAGAGAAAATCTAATCATCATTAAACATAAATGAAAGGTGGCAGGCAGTACCAATGCTTCAATCGACCATTATTGTAACATCAATGACATCCAAAATCTTTAATAACTCAATTAGAAGAATATTGAAAAACCATAGAATCAGGTGATAACTCTCCAAAAGAGTTATCTTTTAGGATCTTTTTACTTAGGTTAAGCTTGAACTTTAGCATCATTAGGATCATATTTGGATCATTTTAGTTTTATTTTATCATATTTTACATCATTTGCACATTTGAAGTGAGTTTATGTATTTTGGGTTATTTTATAATATTTTGTTGTAACTTGGTACGATGATGCTATAACATAATTGATGTTGTTGTGCACTGATGTTGTACTATATTATCGTGCCGTTGCTGTAGTAACTGGTGACTCAACAGGAAGTTAAAAGAAAATTCTGGAATCGGACAGCTATAAAATGGCAGGAAAAAAATAGAAAAAATCATATTTTTCCTATTGGTGGATGCTTTGACCTTTGGGGATTATAAATAAGGCATCCCTTCACACTTTCAAAACCTTCTTCAACCTATCTTCATATCTATTTTATTTTCTTATTTCCTCCACCGGCCATAGAGGTTTGAATCCACGGGGAATGTATCAGCAGTTGGAGCAGCGACGTCGACGTAGTAGTGGTGACTATTTGGGGTTCAAGCTTTTTATAGTGCTTTACTTGAAAGAGGGAAAGAACTTTGTTAAGTTTGAATGATTTAATTTTATGTTGATATTTATATTTGATCATAGAGTGTTGATAAAATGTTTGACTTATGATTTTTTCTCTAACAATATTTTTATGTGCTGAGTTTTTATTGGATTTTTTTGAGATGGAAAGATCTTTATGTATGTCAATATCGGTTATTTTTAAAGATGAAAATCATTGAGGTTCCATGCTACTTTATTTTCAGCATCATTGTTTTTGAAAGTGAACTTAGTTATATAGAGATGTGTGATGTTGATTGTCCTTGCTATGTTAACTGTTTAATTGATGGCTTTGATGAGAGTTAAATCCATTTGGTTGAGTGTTTAATTATTGAAGAGGATTCATGTGTTAATCATTGCAACACTCATAACAGTATTGCCACAACATGATCATTCTGTCAGCTTCCAAATATCAACAATATTTTTAGGTCTAGTGGTCTATTTGCTCTGCTGATTGCGAGTGCATTACCTGTCATTTCTATCTTGTTTTTAATACCTTTGCTATATCGATGTTACTACCCAATCACAACATTTGTCTTTTTATCTTTGAAGTTAATAATTCTAAGCTGTCATTTCTTACTCTCTGTAGGTTCGACATCTAATACACCTTGTGTTTCCACTTTATTACTTTATATACGACACACACTTGTGTTGAATTCTGTAACAATTTTGTAGCATTATCACGCTACTTGGGAAATGCATTAGAGAGAGACCCTAACAATTTATAGTTTCCATGCTCGACAACACTCTTTCCATTTTTTGTTCAGAGATAGCTTTTGAATGAACCGGTTTTGAGCTACTACCAGAATGAGTGACTACACCAGAACGAGTGACTTCTCCAGAGGGATAGAAATTACGATCATTAACATGCTATCATTAGAGACCTCATAAATAGGATCAAAACAAGATCCTGTATTAAAATTGTCATATGCACCTTGCAGCTACTTTACTAAAATTTTACGCTGATTCTGAGCCACCATCATCCAGCGACAAAAAATGGAGTTATCCGGAGTAGGAGCCCCTTGTAGTTGTTGGAACCTCATCAGCAGAGGGTGGAGGCAAAGTCAAGGGGAAAATATCTTTGACATGACTTTATTTATTATATTCGAAGCAAATAGAATTGAGAGCTTCATATTCAACGATTTGAATGCACCCATTAATCAGAATCCTTGAGACGAGGTTCTCACCGATCAAGTGTAATGGCCATATAGGAAAAGCAACATCTTCTCCCATTTTTGGTTTGGTAGTCGATCTTGATCAATGAACCAATACAATCACTAATTTCAATGATTAGACTACGTTTATATAATGTAACCAGGAGGTTGGGAGGCGAATATAAATGTTAATTCTTTTTAGGTGGGGTTGAGTAGTTTGACTAGTTTTTTAAAGTAAACAATTTTGAAGTTTTAAGTTTTAATTCTAAAGCATATTGATTAACGGGGATTAAGTGACTTCACATACATTGTACAAGTATACAAATTGTTGTTGTTGCTGTTTTTAAACATACAAGTTTATTACAAAATATAATAATATATCAGTTTGCATTGGTTTAAGGTTTTTTGGGAAAACACTCGTATACTGATCATAACAACATATACATCTAAAGAAAATAAGGATAAAAAATAAAGTAAAACAAAATCAATAGGGAAATAACATGAAGAAACCTATCTACTGTTAGAAATTATATTTACTCCTAACAAAACAACTACAAAGGATGGAGGGTATTCGACCAAATCAAAGAGGCGGAAGAAGATTAACCTTCTCGAAAAAAAGTATGTACCATAAGTTGACTAACCAGCCAATATGCATGAAAGAGCATTGAGCAAACTTATGTGCAAGAGCATGCATAGTATCCCTAGTGGGGGAGTAATCGACGTCGGATGAAACTACATGTAAATTGATCGGGAGGGAGTCACCTTTATCTCCATAGCCCTGCAACCAGACACAAGTGTCAAGAGGAGACCTTCGAACCAGGCATGCACTTCCATGATAAATGAGTTAAAAGAATGGGGAATGAACTTTACAGCCCGTTTGGATCAAGGATTTTTACATTCCCATCAGGTATATTTTTTTCCTGACTAAGGATACCCATGTTTGGTTGGGTAAGATTCCCAAGGGATGGTAATATTCTCTTACCAACAGTAAATTTTGGTGTTTTATTCCTAGGAATGTTATTCCCAAGTGTGTGTTAGGTATTATTTTATTCCCGTGCTAAGGGCTAAAATACCTTCTTTTCCCGTGAGCTTGCCTGTGCACGATATCTTCTTTACCCCTGCGCTTGCCTCTGCCAAAAATTCTTCTCTTGGTAAGATTTCTTCTCCACTCCCTTTCATTTATTTTCCCAGCAATGAGAGAAACTTTACCTTGGGAAACAGAAGACGGAGTTTGGATTCAGAAAAATATGATTGGCTTAATTTCCCAACTCGACTTTTTTTTCTTGCTTAGGATTCAAGGTCCTTTTTCATTCAATCTCCCTGCTTTTCTCTTTTTATCTGCCTTGTCTTTCACTAAGAATTGGTTATTTGACACTGTAAGAAAAAAAAGGGTTAGTATTTCTTTTCTTTTTGGGATGATGGGTCTTATTTGGAATATCCTTTTGTCTCCTATAATTTGATGACTTTGCATTCATGTGAATTTCGTGCTGTTTCTGATCTGGAATTTATCAGCTGTTTCTGCATATTCTTCACTCTTTCTTCGGTTAGTCTTTCATTCATTTTTAACTTTTTCTTTGTTCACTCCATCATCGCCAACTGTTTGATATCATTTTGATTTTCCTCGTTTAATATTGGTTCCCGTAGTTTTGAATGCTTTCATATTGATATGAAAAATGAGTTGAGGCAATTTAAGGCCACCGAGAGCCACATGTATGTGAAATTATGGGAAATTGGATTCGGTTAGGTGTTTTCTTATTATACATTTTAAACATTCCAACTGTGGTTGTTGCGTTTAGTAAATGTAGGTTGTGAGTTGGAGTAGGATCTGTGTTGCTTTCTAACAATGCCATATAATTAATTTTGTTTAGCTTGAAATTAGAAAGTGTAAAAACTCAAGTAAAAAATTAGTAATGCGTCATTTGGTGACATAAGTATTAACACAAGGAACAACTTTAGCTTTTTGACCCCTACTTCCCTACAAAGGCATGCGTAAGCACACTGAATGCATGCTTGCAAAAAAATGCACCTAGTTTGAAATGACTCTAGACAGTTTAATTGTTTGGAGCTAAGGCTCACCTTAATAACGAGTTAAATTGGAGATGCCAATCAATGTGATAGCCTCCTACCATATATATTTATATATACTAGAATGGAATCTTGTTATTGCTACCAACTTCAACTTCTTCTGTTTTGCACTACAAGTATAATGTATCCCCTGTTATCATTTTGGAAATTGGCTTTTACTTAGGCCGAGTAGAGAGGATATATTCAAATAGGACTTAATTATATTATCTTATAGAATTGTAGTGGATCATTGTTCATTATTTGTATAGCACTGCTTACTGTGCTACGTCTCTCCACAGATATGGTGCACAGGTTAAGGAATTTCATCTTGGTGGATTTAGGTCTCAAAATGTAGTGGTAGAATTTCAGTCTTTTATACTGAATTGGAATCTAATTTGTTTCATACTAAGGTCAATAAATTACCAAAAATAATGGATATGTTGCAGGTAAGAAGAACCAAGCAGTAAGATTTTCGTATTTGTGATGTGAGGGAAAGATTTTAAATAAGCATCGGAATCTTTTGCATTGTTCTTATTAGATAAATTGTTCAATGGAGGAATCTTAAGTGTGGTTCAGGTGAAAGTTGTGTGATTGAATAATAGTTCACTCTTGATCAATAATCATAGACTCATGCTGGTACTCTAATCCAGTACCCACTTGACTGAGGCTAGCATGTATTACTTGCAAAAGACGTCTATTTGTAGTGTTAGAAAATGACAATTTAATATTCTAAAATCTCAGTCTAAATTCTTTTATTTCTGCCATAACTCTTTAAAAGTTGAAGAATTAGACAATAAGTGAAATATTTATTGAAATATTTATTACTGCTAAATATGCAATTCTCAAATTGTATGCATATTTTTTATGTACTTTGCATGCATATTCACAATTTCACATGAATTTTATGTAGTTGTGCATCATAGATACTCTGGACACGCATGATCCTAGGCGTGTGACTTGATTGTCATTCTATCAAAATGTTTGTGTCAAAATTTTATGTTATTGTCTGGATTTGTATTGTATTTTATGCCGACTCCTCCACGGATTTCCTTGGGAGTGGGATATTTATCACTTTGGCATGATCCTACGGTCCTAACATGGGCATTGCTTTATATTTATTGCATTATCCTTCACGGATGTCCTTTCGACTGAGATATATGTTACTTTTGGCATCTTCAATTGGGTATTGCATTTAGTCGCTTCCTTGTATTCAATATGGTTATAATTGGTAGTTACCAACTGAGAGTGATGGTAGTTAGACAAAACTTGGGTTATAATTGGTCATCCATATATTATGTTAACTATGATCTATCAGGTTACCAGCTGGTGTCACCAATATTAGGCCTCCTCGCTTATAATGTCGATAGTGATCCGAGTTTTGGTAGCCCTTTCGAGCTTGGGATTCTTGCCATTGACAAACCTATTAAAATCGATTTCAGCAACGTTACAAAGGCATCCAACATCACAGGATTCTTGCCATTGTGTGCTAGTTTTGAAGGAAATGGAAAAGTAACATTGAAGAACCAAGTATCACCCAACGTTTGTGTGGCAAGCAGGCATGGCCAGTTTGGTTTGGTGGTGAAGTCGCCGCAGTCGTTGGCTGTGAGGAAGAAGATGCAATGGAAACTGGTGGTGGGATGCTCGGTGGGAGCTGTTTTGGGGACTTTCCTTTTGGGGTTGCTTTTAGTGGCGATGTTTGTTAAAGTTAAGAAGAAAGCAAGACTGGAGGAGTTGGCGAGGAGAGCATATGAAGAGGAGGCTCTTCAGGTTTCCATGGTTGGACATATAAGGGCTCGAACATCGCCTGCAACTTAACATCATCTTTTAAATGGTAGCTATGGATTCTTTTTCTTTTCCTTTTTCATGTATGATCATTCTTTTTGCAAGGTTAGCTCTATATGACTTCGAAATAGAATCGATTCTTATGTTCACTATCTTGGAACATAACAACTCTGTTTTTCAAGGACATGTTAAGCTTCACTTCATTTCATTATTCTATTTTCCATAATTTCCTGGCTCAATGTCTAGGAAAATAATAACCCAACTGTTCTTTTGCTTACGATTTTTAACAAAAGGTATTCTTTGTTCTCCATGATTCATAAACACATATTTAACAGTATTAATGAAAATAAAGTGGTTTTGTTGGCCGTCGGCGATTCACCTATTTAGAATGTAAACCATGTTGACACCTCCCAGTGAATGCGTCACGTATGAACCGAAGCTAATTTCCACAATGTAAACATTTAGTTAAATGTTGATGTAAAATTTTAATATATTTTTACATAAATTATGTAAAATTTAATATTAATTAAAATTAAAATAATACATGATATATTTAAATACTCAAGTAATATATTATCAACAGATAAATTTTTTATATAAATAATTGTTATTTAAATATTTAGAATTTCACTTGTTAAAAAATATAGAACAAGGATAATTTGGTAAAATATACATTCCAGTAATCTTTCATTCCTTCAACCAAACATTGTAATCTTACATTCCTGAAAAACCAACCAAACACAGTAATGTAACATTCCCAGTAATCATATTCCATGGTAATCTTTTATTCCCACTGGTAATCTTCCATTCCGTGAACCAAACGCACCTTTAAAGTAGTAGACCAAACTTATATCCATAGCATTATATCCCTCGGTAAGTGAAACTTCCTCGATTTTCGAGTCCTTCCTTTCTCTTGTTGTCCATGCATCTTAGTATCCTTTTTCTTAGATTCTTCATGTGATTTCCCAATATAAATACCATTTCGTGTTGTAATGGCCTTACAATGCTCATTACATTGAGCTTTCCCATGTGGCTTTGGAACTTAGGTGTCACTTGCCAATGTTTCTTGTTGTCTTGTACTTAAAACATTTGACAATTGTCCAACCTTCTTTTCCAATGCTTTTATTAATGCATCATTCCTTGAAATATATTCCTTTAGTAAAGATTCAAGAGATATGGAGGTAGAAGAGTGGTTTCAATTTTGTCCTTGATAATTTAGCTAGTTGTTGTGCTTGTATTGTCTAATGTTGTGGCTGATGTTGGGGCATCATTTGTTATTAGTTGTAGTGGTTGATAATGTTTCTTTGTATTTCCAAAATTTTGTTGAAACCTCATATTGAGGTTCGCAACATTTTAACTTCTCCAAGATAAATTGGGATAATTTCAGAAGTTGGCATTTTAAGTGTTCTTATAGGCATTTGCATTTTCATTCCAATTGTAATTTCTTATAAAGTAGATAGAAACAAAAGAGAGAGAAGATACAACTTTTACCTCGTGCATACTACAAGGCTTTTGCAATTTTTATCACGTCAGTCAATGTTGTTATCTATGAAGACATTGTGTTGATAACATCAATGTCCACTACTGTAGCCTTACGTCTTCCAAACATATTCCTAGTATTGGGGTATTGGTAGTCATTGTTGGATATCCTCTCCAGGATGTTATAGCTTTCATTATAGGTCTTATCCATCAATGCTCCATTGGTAGAAACATCAACAACCATTCTTGTTTGCATATTTAATCCGTTGTACAACATTTCCATTTGCGTCCAATGTGGGAAACCATGCATTGAGCATTTAAGTAGCAAATCTTTGGACTGCTTTTAGGCTCCGTATAGGTTTTCATCTTCCAATTTCTTAAAAGATGTGAGATCATTCCTTAGTTTGGCATTCATCTTGGGAGGGTTGAAACACAACAAACCTTTTTGTGCTAATTTGTTCCACGATGTTATAACACTAGGTGACAACGAACTGAGCTAGTCTTGGCTTTATCACGAAGAGAATAAGGAAACATCTTCAACTTCAAGGCTTCCTCAAGAACTCCTTGTTGTACAAAAGAGTCACACACTTCCATAAATGTCATAAGATGTGCCCTAGGGTCTTCAGTAAATGGTCCACTATACTGCCCCCATCGACTGCAACATTTGAAACATAATAGACTTCAGCTCAAAGTGAGCAATATGGATGACAAGTCTCATAATGCAAAGATTTAAACTGTCTAGAGTTTGCACAACATGCTCTCAGATTGGCCTGCTGTGGTCATCCATGTCGCAATGGTGCTGTTGAGTAACTCCATTTCCAGCTAACAATTTTTCCTTACCTTGTGGAAGTGGTGTTAAAGCATTGTTACCATCAACATTCATGCTTGTTCGATTGTGATATACTTCTCTGCGATGGTGGCGAAATGTTCGTTCAACTTCAAGGTCACGATCCTCTTAGAGGGGCATGCACCAACAAATTAGACTGAAGAAAAAAGAAAGAAAATACATGTAAAATATTAAAAAAAACAAAGTTAGTGAAAAAAGAAAACAACTCTAATGCAATGTTAGAATTTATGAAGCTCAAAATGATCAACTGAAAGTTTAAGGAATGGAGTAAAGAAAGATAGACAATGGGCACAAGATTTAGAGTGGTTAGACTTCTCAACTAAGTTTACGTCCACAACCTTAGCTCCATACGAAGGATTTTCTAACAAATTCACTAATTTGTTCTTCCTTTTTCAAGGCTCAAGAGTAACCTTTGTAAATCCTTATCTTTTCAATGGATAAGATAGAACCAAGACCCCTTTTATAAAAGGATAAATAATTTTAAACTAGAAAACCTCACAAGGTAGGTGTTTACACAATTTAGTTCACTAAAACACACTATGTACAAGAGAAAAGGAAAAATAAGAATGAACGAGCATTTCTCTTGATGTGGATTGCTTGGATAGGTGTTTTAACATTCTACAAGTGTCCTCAACTTGTTTTTATATGTTGGAATGTGTTTGTGACCATTTCTAACAGTTGGGGATTAAAAATCTCCAAAATAAAACTGTCTAGACAAGGGAGTATCAATACTTGGGCTGGAAGTATTGGTACTGCTTTAATAAAAACTAGTCATTTTTCGACCTTTGGACAAGAGTATTGATACTAGGGTTCAGAGTATCGATATTTGCACAGTATCAGTACCAAATTTGCACATCGGAATCTGAATACATTTAAAACCAATGGGTAGTATCGGTACTGCCATAAGAGTATTGATACTTCTCTTACCTTGGGTATCAATACTACATAAACATTATTGATATTGTTCATGTGGTATCGATATTGTATGAACAATATCAATTCTTCTTGTCCTGAAAACTATTTTTTGTTCAAATTCAAGTTTTATAGACTTTTGAATTATTTTTGAAAACTTTGAATAAATTCAATTTAGTCCAAAAACATTTTGCCCTTAAATTTGTTATATCAAAATAGATTTAACAATTTATTTTTCTTTTTTTCTTGTACATAGTGTATTTTAGTGAGCTAAATTGTGTAAACACCTACCTTGTGAGGTTTTCTTGTTTACAATTATTTATCCTTTTGTAAAAGGGTTCTTGGTTTTATCTTAGCCATTGAAAAGATAGAGATTTGTAAACGTTACTCTTGAGCCTAGAAAAAGAAAGAACAAATTAGTGAATTTGTTAGAAAATCCTTAGTGTGGAGATAAGGTAGTGGATGTAGAATTCTTTGAGAAGTCGAACCACTCTAATCTTGTGCCCATTGTCTATCTTTCTTTACTCCATTCCCTAAATTTTTTTATTTGGCCAATTCACCTCCCTTGATACATTTTCAATTGATCGTTTTGAGCTTCATAAATCCTAACACAATACCATTGCTCCCCTACAATTGCAACTAAAACTTGATGCTACGTAAGTTGCTACAACATTTAATGCAAGTGTACGTGTCGTAAATCAAGTAATAAAAATGGACACACAAGGTGTATTGGATGTTGAACTCGTAAAGAGTAAATTAGGTTACAAAAGAGTTGTGTGGAATGTGTTTATAAGATATATGATTGAGATGATGAATAAAAAAAAAGATAGAAAAATATTGAAATCAGAATGATAAAAGAAGGGAATGTTATAGCAAGCAGAGAAGCAATTACACCAATGAACCTAAGAACGCAATTAATACTTAACAACTAACAAAATGGTTATGCTATGGCAGTACAGTTATGAGACACACAATGATTAATACATTAATCATTTCTCAAGAATTAAACACTTAACCGAATGGAATTAACTCTCATCAATACCATAGATTAAATAGTTAACATATTGTAGACAATCAACATCATACATCTTCATACGATTAAGTTTACTTTCATAAACACTAATGCTGGAACTAAAGTAGCAAGCAACCTCAATGATTTCCATATCTAATAATAACCAAGATTAACATACATAAGGATGAATTCATCTCTAAAAACATCCAATAAAAACTCAACTCATAAAAGTATTGGTAAAGCAAGAAAAAAAAAGCATAAGTCAAACATTTTATCCAACACTTTATTTTCGAAATCAAATAACAACATAAAAGTAAATCATTCAAGACGAGCAAAGTGTCTCTCTTTTCAAGCAGATAAAGCTAAGAAAAGATTGAACCTCTATCAGTAACCGCTGCTACACGGCTGCTAAGGCATTCCCCGGCGATTGATTTAGGCGGCCATGGCGTGGATAATTTTTGGATAAAGGTGAAGTATGAACCTTCTCAAAAGTGTGACTTTTTTTTTACCTTTTTAGGCTTATTTAGTCAATCATTCAGCCAATCAAAATACACCAAAAATATGGATATTTATACAAAATGACAGCTACCTAGCCAACTGTCCAGGTTCTAGACAATTCTGTGACTTCTAGTGACTCAGTACTTGTTGTAGAATTGGTTCAACACTTCGGTGCAGCAATACAACATAGCTTCACCGACAACATAGAGCATTGTCATAACATGAGTGTTCCAGATTTTAGTAATAAACAACAAAATGGTTGTCCCTTGTTCCCATATGTAATGGGGTAAGGGGGAGGTAAGATAGTAGGCTGCCCCCAA